TTCAGAGCCAGAAGCTCCCAGGATGTCCCAGAAAACTAGCTGTGGCGCATACCCAAATCTGGCTTCTTACTGCAAAAATATTTAATGACAACCTATGTGCCAAGCATTTCACTCACTAGTAGTTTTCTCTTCAAATTGTCATCTGTCCCCCAGACTCCAAAAGCAGCCAGTTCCTGGATCCTACCACTGTGGCCTCATGATGGAATATCGAGTCTCTTGCTAAAATTCGGGTCACTTTGTCCCCCTCCCTTCCCAAGAACAACAACACTGCCTGGTCCCTGGAAAAGAAAGATCGCCAGAGTTGGTAACAGCCAGTCCTGGATTTTAAGCTCAGCTTTGCCATTTTAGGCAACTTGCTGGACCTCTTCCAGTTGTTGTGAAGATTGGTAAGACGCAAGGGCAGAGGGCTTGGGCACAAAGTAAATGCATATTCCCTTTCTTCCAGCCACTCTCTCAAAACAGACCAACAAACAGGTCCCAGAAACGCCAGGGGAATGTGCTGGCCACACCCTCAGCTCATCACCAAGTGGGAAGTCTTACAGTCCCTGACCACAGCTCTTTGGTTTCAGCTCCAGCCATCCCCTCTGGCTGGTCAGTTGTGGGAAGGCTGTCCTGGGAGTCCCTGAGCACCCTCTCCTCCCTTAAGCCTAGTAGCTGGACTCTGTAGGCAGCTGCATTCTAGCCCCTAGCCTTCACCATGACAACCAGCCTGCCCAGCCGTGAGCTGGCCAGCCTGGGGAAGACTGGGGGACGCAGGCTGCTCCGGCTAAAAGCCAGTTCCCAAGACTCCCCCAGTTTCTTCCTCAGGGTGCAGGACCAATGGTTATTATACCCTTCTCCCTGCGACACAGACATTCTGGGCCTCCCTAGATGCAGTGACCTTTGACTCTCCCCTCCTCAGTCAGCGCCTTGGCTGAGAGTTCTGGGAAGGAACAGGAGGGTCGGCTGTGGGGGGAGGAAGTCAGGGTCGGCTAGCAGCACCCCCCCACCCCCGCCTAGGCCAGCATGGCCAGGCAAGGACCTCCTGCATTCCCAGGAGAGAGGACAGCTGAGGTGAAAGCTGCAGTTGGCTGGCCTGTCGGTCTGGGCTCCTCCCTGCCGGCTGCCCTGGGCTGCCCACAGAAACCTGAGTCACAGTCACGGCCAGCCGCCCGACCCCACCCAGCCTGCTGTGAGGCAGGGTGGTTCTGGAGAAGCTGAGGCGGAGTCTCTCCCTGCCTATCTTAGGACCTCTGAGATTCTTCCCCTGTCTGCCTATGATTGTTCCTTTTGGAGTCTTTTTTGTTGGGACTCCTCCTTGCATCAGGAGCTATGAATTAAGGATGGGGATGGGCTCCATTTCAAGCTGATTTATAGGGTCTCCTCCTTGCTCAGATGGGAACCTAAACCTTCGTAGACAGCTGCTCCAAGGATTCTCAGTTCCGCTGCCATCATTCCCAAATCCCAGTCCCTCTCCACCACTGCTCAGAGTCAGCACATTTAGGAATGCTGGGCGCCTCCTTCTCATCCCCATTTCCTTCTCCCTAGAAAAAAAATACAGCAGGGACAGCTTCCCATTCTTAGCAGGGGCTCTAGACAAAGACCCTCCCAGAAATCCAAAGCGTTGAGCCTATTTGATCCTGGATCTCAGTTTCTCCCCCTCCAATCTGTCCCTGTTCCTTCCCCTCCCCAAGTTAGAGGGAGGCCTTATTTGCAGCTGGAGTCACCACGGCCCTTGAGGACATTCTCTACCCTCAGCCCCAGGGAGTGGGCCTGGAGGACTCCCCAGGAGAGCCATATGGGTTAGAGACCCATTTATCCTGCAGTGCCTTGGGGGTGGGGTAGGAGTGAGAGTCCGGTGTCTGATCTCTCTGTGGGGCCCCCACTATGAGGCCCCTCCCACTTCCTACTTTGTGAGTGTGGAGGCAGCCTCCAGGGCCTTGCTCCTGATTCATATCTCCTATCTCTGTGTCGATCTCCTAGTGATTTCCTTCACCCCTCCATCAGGTTCATCCTGGACCCTGCCCCACCAACCCAAGGAGGCTGTGAATGCTCTTGCTCCTGCCCTCCCCTTAGAAGGATCAGAAAGGGGACATATTTCTGATCCCCATTCAGCCACCTGACCCATAGCACCAGCCCATCCTCGTGGTGGTGAGAGGAACAGCTCATTCATGCCTGTTTCCGAGGAGGAGGGGACTGCCCTAGGTGGTGGGGGAGGCACAGAGTTCCCTACCCCTCACCAAAAGGGCGGGGCATCCTGTAGGGGCTTTCAGTCCCTGATGTTGCAAATGCCTCAATTGCTCCTTCTCTGGGATGTCTAATAGTCGGGGTGGGGGTGCATATGAGGCTCCCAGACACCATCATCCAGCCCCAAACTCAGCGAGACACACACTCCAAGGCTTCTCAGTTGCTAGGGCCTGGGATCTGCCAGGGATCCTGGCCAGTCTGGGGGTAAACGGAGAGGAACGGACTCCATCTCTCCCTCTGTTTGCTTTGACTTAATCACGGGACACTGGTGCTCTCTTAGCTCCCACTTAGCCATCCTCCCAAGACTCACTTTGGACCCCTCAGCTGTACAGGAGGCCTGGGGCTGGCCAGGAGAACTGTCCGTCAAGTTGGCTAACTCCCAGATGTCTTGTTGTCCCCACCACTAGCATCTTGTAAAAGGGGGTATAGCTGTCTCCTCCCACAGTCTAGGGAAGAGTTCCTCTGTGTTGGCACCGTTGATGTTTTGGGCCTAATGGTTGCTCTGAGAATCATATGGTGTTAAATGGCATCTCTGATGTCTAAACACTGGATGCCGGTGATACCCCCACTTGGTTCTGACAACCCAAAGTGCCCCGAAACATTGCCAGAAGTCATCTGTGGGGCAACATTGCCTCTGGTTGAGAACCACGGACATATGCTAATACCACACACTACCCCTTTGCAATGATTCCTCAAAGTCAATCCCAGATCGTTAGACACAATAATTTCCAGTTCTAAAGCACTGCTTACCCCTCCCCTTGCAAAAAAAACCTTCCACAACTCCCCATGATCAATGTTGTATAGATCATGATGCCAATTGGCATTCAAATCGTCCTATGGAGACCATCCCTGACCTATTTTCTCATCTTTAGCTACCGTTTATTGCCCCCTCCACTATTGTTGAAGTCTAGCCAATGCAGGTATCTATCTCACTGTTCCCACCCAGGGTCTTCATCCCTGAAGTCATCTCAAGTTCACCAGGGCCAGGGGAGGGGGGTGGGTGGGGAGAAGAACTATCGCAGAGGGCTCTCCCCTCTGTTGGGTTCTGTTCATGAACACTGAGTCTACTCACTGTCTGGCTCAGGGTAGACCTGTGTATATCTGGAAGATACAGGCCCTGAAGCTTTTGACCTCACAAAGCACAGCTCTGGATGCCATCATCTATGGGGTCCCCTCATCCTGCAGGTAGGATGGCTGACAACAAAGATGGGGGGGTCTGCTCCTTCTCTTAATCTGCTTTTATCCTTAAAGCTCCATCATCATACCACTATCATCATATTCATTTCGTGCTTCTTACTTAGATGCCAGGCTCTGTGCTACGCACTTCATCAGCGTTGCCTTATTTAGCCTTTAATGCCCCCATGACACCTCATGGTGCTATCATTTTCCTGCTTTTCTAAGTGAGCAAACTGGGTTTCAGAAAAGTTAAGATACTAGCTTAAGATCCATTTGCAGCCTTTCCATCATCATCATTTTCTAATGATCTGGGGCCAGAGGTGGTGGCACTATTCCCTCCCAGGATGGGGTGGGGGGACCTTCCAAGAGAGTTCAGGCCCCCCAGCTACTCACTCCTCCTAGGACTGGCTGTTCCCAGGTTGCCTGAGACCCAGACCCTTTTGTTCCCCACCCTCCCCCTTGAAATGGCTGCTTTCTGGAAATGTTCAAAGAAGACACTAGCGGGAAAGAGGGGCAGGAGGCTAGCATCTCACTGCGCCTAATCTCTGGACAATGGAGAACCAGAGAACTGACCTTCTAGAGGTCAGGACAAAGGGCAGGGAGGGGGTGGCAGGGCCCAGCTGTGCCTCCTCTTTCCTCCCCTCTGTCAATCCCTGCAGCACCATCATCGATCCACCTTCCCAGCAAGCTCTCCCCCTCACCCCCACTGCCCAGGCTGGCCAGACTTGGCTTGAGGCCCCACCTCTGCTGGCGCTAACAAGGGAAATGGGGGGGGGGGTTCCACCTCAGAGAGCTGGGAAGCAGGACTACGGGGAGGGGAATCAGAAGGGACCCCCTCCCTCCTTGACAAGCTACAGGGGAGAAAGTCCTTCTGGGGAGATTGGAGGGGTCGCCGATGGGGGTGGGGGAGGTTCAGGGCCAGGACCACCCAGTTTGGAGCTGGGAGGGACCCAGCAGATTAGAGACCTGGGTAAAGCATTGGTGCAGGCCTGTAATTACCCTGGGGGAGCATGGAAGACACCAGCCGTAGGATGCTGGAGGAAGGGCAGCAGCAAGGGGAGAGAAAGCAGAGAGCCCTTTTAGGGCTTTCCTTGGGACACTCCTTCAGGTCTGTCGACATCTCCCCGGGCGGATTTGGTTTGAGGTGGGATTGGGAGAGAATCTGGATTTGAAGCTACCGCCAAGGTTCCAGAGCCGGAGCCCCCAAGTTCCAGGGTGGGACTGGAGGCTCCCAGGCCCGCTCCCTTCTACTCCCCCCAGTCCAAGCGGCGGGTGAGTCACCAGAGCGCTCCCTACATAGTCCGCTGGCGCTGTGGCGCATACCAACGCGCGGCCGCAGGGGGAGGCGGCGGCACGGGCGTCCTCGGGGAACCGCGGCGCCCCCTCGGCCGCGGCCGCAGGAGAGGCGTCCGGAGCTCGAGGGCCCGCGCTCCGGGGCGGAGGCGGGGCGGGGCAAGCGAGGCGGGCGCGCAGCGGCTCGGATCCCGGACGCTAGGGGGAAAGGTCCTCCCCGTGTCGCACTTGGTACGCGCCAGCGGGGAGGCCAGGCCCAGCCCGGGCGGTACAATAGGGTTGGGCCGCGGCCGGGACAGGGCCGGCGCCGGGCAGGGAGCGGGATCGCGGCCGCAGCCGACAGACACTGGGCGGCCGGCGACTCCGAGCCTCGCAGGCCACCAGCCGAGGCAGCCCAGACTTTCTCCGGAGCGCCCCCGCCTCCGAGTCTTGCCCGCCGGGCAGGGCCGGGCGTGATGCGCCGCGGGACCCCTGTCCTGGCCGCTGGCCGCCGCCGCCGCCGCCGCTGAGACCCCAAGACCCCCGGTGACGCCGCAGCCATGGAGAGTGGTCCACATGCAGAGCCAGGTGCCGGCGCACCCCCAGGTATGCCGGGAGCCACGCAGAGGCGAGATCGGGGGAGGTCGCGGGGCCTCGGGAAGGCCGAGGAGAAGGCCAACCCGCTGGGCGGGGACCCCTCCCCCGCCGCGCCCTCTGACCACTTGGAAGTTTAAAAATAAAGGCTGCCGCGGCGGCGGCTCGGGGACACCGACGCATCCTCTGACAGCTGCCCCCTCCCCCACTCCGGGCGCTAGGACACCCTGGGCGGCGGGATCCTCGAGGACCCCGCTCCGGAGTTGTTGGGGTGACTCTTCCGCCCCGGCCCGTTGCTACTTCGGCTTCCCAGCCTGCATCCCCTTTCTGATCCACCCCGGCCCCGATGCTCCTCTTAAATCGAACTGGGGCGTCTGTCCCCCTCTTCATCTCGTGTGGTCAAGGGTGACCCCAGTCTGAGTGTGTGTGTTGGGGGGTCCAGATTCTCAGGCCTGGAGTCCTGCATAGCGAAGCCTAGGCCCTGAGCGCCCCCCACGCCCAGGCCCTGGCCCAGACCTCGCCCCCACCCCATCTCTCCAGCTGCCGCGCAAAGGGCCTGTTGCTGCTGCGGGCCGGCCGGGAGTGGAGGGGAGGGCAGGGGGAGGTCTCTAGCGGCGGCTGCCAAGTAACCCGCCGGATAAAGACGAGGGGGAGGGGGAGGCGGCATTGTTTGGGGCGAGGGCGGGAGCTGGGGAGTGGGCCGCCTCCTCTGCAGCCTGGCCTACTCCGGAGCCCACCCAGCCGGATTTAGGGAGGAAAGGGACAGAAGTAAAGCTGCGTATCCTGCCATCCTCCTTCCTAGCCTCTCTAGGCCCGAGTCTCTCTTGAGAATGAGATGAAGGCTCAAGGCGGCACTCCCGGGACCTGCCACATCATTCCTCAGCCTGAAGCTTGAGATGCCTACCCCCGCCCCCCTACACACACTCCAGGCCCCAGAAGACCATCAAAGCTACCCTCCCCTCCCCTCACCCCACCAACCACCAGTGCCCAGGACTTCTGCAAATCCCATTCGGATCTGGGAGCAGCTGATGAGGGGGTGGGGACAGGTTTCTGGTTGGGCCTGGTGTTGGAGGGAGGGATTTCTCTTTCTCTTTCTTCCTGGAAGGGGAGGGAAGAGCATGATTACTGAGGACCCAAGTTCTGTTCCCACTGACTCAGGGGGAGGTGGCCCCAACCTCACACACCTCCATAGATTTCTAGAGCCTAATCCCTGCCACCTCCCTGACCCCTGGGGCGTGGGCCCAGCATGAAACAGTGTCTGTGGGTGCGGAGAGCCCAAGACAAGGAGGAGCTGCTTGGCTGTGGGTGGGCTCCTCCCCATGCCAGCGTGGGTGCTTCCAGGGGCCCTCGTGGGTGTGGGAGCTGAGGGACTCAGGTGGTAGTGGTGGTGGGGTTAGCTATCAGACTGTTGTGGTTGGGGTGGTTTGTAGACTGTGCTGGAACAGTGGCACTTGGGTCAGTCTTGGCTCTGCTGAACCTGAGAGGGGACACCCAGGGATTCCTCGACTGGGTCCATTTCATCTGCTTATTGGCCCTCTGCATCTGAGGGGTGCAGGCACTGGTGCATACATGGGGGCCTGAATGGGCATGATGACGGGGCCACAGATGGGGGCCTGAGTGAGTGTCTGGTTGAGGGTCTGGGGGACATGCTTGGCTGTACTGAGGGACCTGAGGGGGTCTGCATACAGGGTCCTGGGTTGGGAAGACTTTTCTGTACATGCGGGCCTGGATGGAGTTATGTGAGAACCTAGATCAGGCTGGTGGCAAATCCCCACACAGAAGGTGAAGGTGACAGGGGCCCCCTCCAAACCAAGGGATTCCAGGGAATAAAGGTGGTGCCCACTGCATGTGTCCTGTCGAGTCTGAGGCATAGGGCTGAGACACGGAATGCCCATGGCACGGTCCCTGCCGTCTTTGAGTTCCGTCTACCCCCCCACCCAAGCATTTCCAGGAGGCAGCATGCAGTCCAGGACGGGTGTGGACTGGGGCAAGTGACTTGCCTCCTCCATGCCCCTGGAAGAGGAGGTAGTGTTACCAAACCTTTTGGGGCTAATGTGAGGGTTGGAGATGATGCACCCAAGGAGCCTAGCAGCAGACGCCTGCAGTACAGTGCTATTACCATTATTGTGGTTATGCTCATCAGAACCTGTGCCAACAGGGAGGTACGAAACACAGGAGAGGCGAGGACAGGGATTGGGAGCCAGTTTGCTTAAGAATGTAGACTCTGGAATCAAACATGACCTACTACTGTGTGACCTTAGGTATGTTGCTTAACCTGAGTCTTAAATGTTCCCATCTATAAAATGAGACTAATATAGAAATTATCTTGTGGAGAGATGGGGATAATTAAATTAGAGGAACACATGAAACACTTAGCCTAGGCCTGGGCGCATAGTTAGTGGTCAATAAACTCTATTTGTTTTTTTGTCATTATTGTTTTTTAATTCCTTTAGAGGCTAGAGGAGGAGGTGTGATTCATTAGAATTTCAGGAGGTAAATATGGGACAGAGAGCCAGGGGGAGGGGAGTTCTAGACACATGTGAACCAGGGTGGATCTGGGGAACTGAGGGGCCCCCCAGTGCTTGGGCGAGGGAGCAGGGGCTGGGGCAGTAGCAGAGAGCCCCTGGAGGTGAGTACAGCCAGCCACCCAGAGCACACACCGATGACTGCCAGGTGCTGGCTCTGTGCTGGCTGTGCGGGTGGCAGAGAAGTGACTCAGACAGTGTCACTACCCACTGAGAGCTCCTGGCCCTATGAGGGAAGCAGATGCTCCCAGTGGAGGGAAACCTGACAGGAATACTGGTGATATGGTGGTCAGTGGGCTTGTGGAAGGCTTCACAGAGGAGGAGGCGTTTCGGGTGAACCTAAAAGGGCGAGTAGAAGTTGGCAAGACTGGCACAATGGGCTGTGTCTCTAAGTATGGCAGCCAGCCTAGCTGGTGCCTCCCACTGACAGCTTCGTGCCCCCTTGGGCCTGTGGGCCCAGTAATGAGCCTCTAATGAGCCCCTAATGTGCAGTCATGCATATGCAAATAAGGTGGAAGGGGCACGGGCCACGCTCTCCCCCTTCCCCTCAGGATGGGCATCAGCTGGGGTGGGGGGGGGAGCGAGCTGAAAGCAGGGCCCTAACCAGAGTGATGGCACTAGAGGGTGGCCAGGCCGGGTCTCAGGTCTAACTGAGGCTGGAAGTTAGGCCACAAGCAGCAGGGAGCCATGTCCCTGGATCCTCACTGGGCCTTGGGACAAGTCAGGGAGCCAAAGAGCCAGGCCCAGATAATGCAGCTTTGTTGGCTGTGGTAGCCACTGCCTGGCACCCTGGGGCACAGCCCTCGGAGGTCCGCCACTTCTCAGCTGCAGCTCTGCCCTGAGGGAAGCAGAGAGCATGAGGCAGGGGGTAGGGAGCATGGAGTTGCTACCACCATCAGAGCTCCAGCCCCACTTATAAGAGGAGATATGGCCCCTCACCAGGGATAAGTCCATCTTATCTCCCACTCCTATTTCTTAAGGGCCTTCTTTGTGCCAGGCATAACGCTTAGCATATCATGTGCCTGGTCTCATTTGATTCTCAAAACAGTCCCTGAGTAGGACCCAATATTATCCTCATTTTACAGGTGAGGATCGGAGAGGGAAATCATTGGCCTCAAGTCACACAGCTAGGAGCTGGCAGGGGCAGGATTTGAACCCAGGTTCATCTGATGCTAAAGCCTCTGCAGCAAACCTCTAGGATGACTTACCATGGCTGAGCCAGCAGGCAAAAGAGTCTGACCTGCTTCCCTGGCATGACTGATCTATAGGCATCTTGGTCTTAGGGACCCGTGATCCATTCTCTGGCAGGCAGAGGTAAAGCCAGCAGAGCCGAGTCCCCTGTGCATCTTGTCGGGTTGGAGTCTGAGGAAGTCAGACCAGAAGGAGGCCCTGGACCCAGGCGGCGGTCACAGTCCAGCCAGCAGGCCATTCTCAAGCCTCTGCCCTGAGCTGCTAGGCCCTAGCACAGACAGCGCTGCTGGGGCCGAGGGAGGGCCCGCGGTGGGGCCTGGGCTACGGGATGGGGTCATTTCCTGCCGCCTAAAATAACAGGAAGTGGGTGCTCCTGATTGGAGGCTGGGAACAATGGCCGCCAACCAGGCCAGAGAGCTCCTTCAGATCTGCAGTCTCAGTGGTGATCCCGGCTTTATCTCCCCACCAGAGGCCCATGGCTTCTGTTCCTAAGTGCCTGTGGCCCAGGTTCTAAGGACTGTTGAAGCAGGCTGCCCCCTTGCTCACTCCCTCCCAGTTCTGGCTCCGCTCTACTCAGGCTGGGAGTAATGCTGCCCCCTAAGGGTTCCCTCTGTCCCAGCCCCATGATCAGGCATCTCTCAGAGTTCATCCTTCAGGGACCCGCCCCTACCCCCATCCTCATCCTCCCAGCTCAGAGCTCTCCAGGCGGGGAAACCCTCAAAGAGGCTGCCCTCTTTGAGTAACAGAGTGAAGGTTCAGACTGTCAACGCTGCTTCAGGCCCCAAACCCCAGCTTTGCTACTCACCAGCTGTGTGACTTAAGTATGTGTCTTAAGCTCTCTGAATCTGTTTCCTTATTTGTCAAATGGGGTAATAATGTCTACCTTGTAGGGTTATGGTGAGGATGATAGGGACTGATGTATTTAAAGTGTTGAGCTGTGTCTGACACAGCATTAGGTATTGCTGCTGTTAACTGGACTTCCCCTGGGCCCAGGTAAGGGGGCATCCAGAAGGGACAGGGAGAACATGACCTGGACGAGGCTGTGCAAGTACCCTGGGGACACGATGTCTGTGTGCTGTGTGCATTTCTGAGGCTTCATCTGTGCCTTGGAGGGGGTACCTGGCTCTGGGTGTGGTGTGTGTGTGTGTGTAGACTTCCAAATCCCGCTAAGTCTGATTCCTGTGTATGTAGGAGGCGGTGGGGGCCGGGGGACGAGGGAGAAAAGAACGTGTCTTGTCTCTTGCCATTGTTCAGGCTCTGTCCACGTTGTCTGGGTGTCTTTCTCCCTCTGTGGTG